CTTTCCCTCCTCAGTGAAGACTAACTCTGCAAAACCCAATGTATACTGGCAGATTAAAAACCAGGAAGAGCCTGAATCCCCTTTCCCTAGACTACATTCCTCTTTCTGTAACTTGCTTTTGAACAAAGTAATGGTCAAGTTTCAAATATCTACAATCAACTTTAACTTTCTCTTAATGAAAGAGAGAATGCTACATTACAATAGGGTATGAAAATTACTTCTTTGGCGGTACAGCCTGAAAGGTTGTAATTTCCATCAAAGCCTCTTGTAGCTCCCACTTGGCAAAGCATCCAGTGTCATAAGATGCTCTTGGGAAATTGCAGGCTTTGTGAATGTGCAAAGAATAGATAATGTGGGCCATATAATTACTGAGTTCCCTTAGGCACAGGATACAGTTAATAGCAACTTATTTGAAGACCACTCTGCACATGGGGATCATACCTTAGAAACAGATACATCACACTTGCAAAAGGAATGTACTTCATAGGTAGCAAGACTCTGCTAGACAGAAACACCAGGTCAGAGGCTCTGAAGAAAAAAAAAATGAGGAGAGCTTGACAGATAAATCTATAGAAAATCATCCATCTCAGGAAGAAAAGGGAAGAAATCGTGAAGTACAGATGAAAGAAGGCAGCCAATTACGAATGGCACAGACTCAATTTCCCCTTTACTCCTAGTGGGTGTCTTTTCAGAAAACAGAAGAAAAAGACAACTTGCTCGAGAACTGGCTTTGAGTTTTAAGAGGGAAACTGCAACGTTTACAGTGAAATCTAAGGGGCTTTGATTCCGATCCATCAAAGGGGAACACAGCCACTTCTAGAAATGAAAACAAGCACCATTTACAGTTTCCAAGAGGAATGAACTCTCCAGCTTAGATTTCATTATCATCACAGCATCAAAGATGCTCATGCTATGCCCACTGATACAATGCATGGCTTATGTGATCTCATGCTCCGGGACCAAGATTAAATTCATTTCATGCATCAAAGAACTTACAAATTAGAGAACTGGTGAAAAATACAAATTATTTTTTTGTTTTCTGGTTCAAATTCTGACCTTTGCTGTTCACAACTAGGTGACCCAAGGTGACTCTTGATGGGCAGACTTCAGTATGTCAGCACACGGTTTTCTAATAGGCTGATAATCATTACCTTTACTTTCTGCATTACTTATTCAGAATAAATAGCAACATAAGTGGACAGCGAACTTCTCCCCAAAATTCTCAAAGATACACATGCAGGAAAGACATCTGAAGCAGGACACCCTAATATGAGGCCTGTATTATGAACACAGGAATGTGCGTTTCCTTTACTTGGATAAGTATGAATGGAAAAAATTAAGTTTGAATCACCAGCTAACTCCTGAAAGGATGTTCCACACTTGCCTCCTCATCAAAGTAAAGATCTCTGTTTAGTTTTTGAAGTATGATGCAACAGTTTGGTATTTTATGGGAAAAAAAATGAGCTCCTTCCCTCTGTTCACTGTCCCTCAACCTGAATACACACAAATCAAAATGCTAATACTATTAAAAGGATTTTTACCTACAAGAGCAGTCAGAGCTACTTTTCATCCCACATATACTACACATTACACAAAGTTTGCCTGAGTTTAAGAAAATGGTATCACCTCTGGTTCATTTACAGGGTGAAAGTCTCCGTCACTGATTTCATTTTAAGTAATGGCAAAGGCCCTTATTTGGGCAGAAAAGTGCCTAGTCTGCAACTTCACTGCAGCTCTACACTGCTGCACATTATTAGAGTGGTCCCATTCCCATCCTCAAGATGTCACATTCTATGTGACAGATTTCTTGATTCCTACGCTTATTCCACAGAATTTTACAAGTTGTGCTTTCATTAACTATTATTAAACACTTCTAGTAATTAAGATCTCTCAACAGAGGAAAAATACTAAACATATTGGTAACTACAGGACTCTCTCACTGTAACATGAACACTCACAGGGGAGAGTTTCTTCCTCATCTCAAAGGTGCGGGTAGCACCAAAGCTGAGCGAGGCAATGACGGGATTTTTTCCCAGGGATGGCTCATCGTCACTGTGCCAGTCTACGCTGTCCTTCTCATTTCGGTAGAGGTTGCAGAGAAGAGAGTTGAAGGTATAGCCAGTGAACTCTTCAATGTGCTCCTTCAGCATGGTCAGCAGGGGATGCCACTGTAATCAGCACAGCAGGAATAGGGTAAATACACTGAAAGCAGGCCAGCAGCAGATAACATAAGACACAAAGGGAAAACCACTAAGAAACAAAAAATGCTGCACTTAAATCACAATAGACTTGAAATCAAACAAATGCCTCTGAACAATTCTGATTGTATTTTTAGTGAAGCTGAGGAACAGGTATATTACCTATTGCTCAATACTAAATCATCTCCTAAAACTATGAAGCCAGTCTGCCTTTCATACTAACGTAGCCAGCCACCCCAACTAACTGAAAGGTGAGAAAGCAGACAGAGTAAAATCTGCTTGAATTGACCATGGACAAACATTGGGAGTTCTTAACTAAGACAAAAAGTGTGCAACTTCTCCCATGCATACCTGGTTTTTTTAACTTCCTGGCCAAGCTAGAGGAGTTTAACACAAGAGGTCTGACAGCATCTGAGTACCTTGGCCACTACTGGTGGGCACAGTGCATCCAGAAAGTTGCAACCAGTGACTAAATGACAATTTGCCTACAGCTGTTGACACAGAACAAGAGACAAGGTTGGTCTAACACTGTCCCAGCTCTGCTAGTACAGCTTGCTGACCCCAACTCATCACCTCTTGGGGTTTTCATTTTCACATTTTAACTTTTCAGTGGTTTGCAAAACCAGTGTCACAGGCGCTGAATTTCACCCTTCCCTTTGCCAACATCTTGGTGAGCCCATAGCCCACGGCAGCTTTGCACATTCCATTACAACTCAGTTCAGTGAATCATTTTTAATGTTATAAACTTACATCACAACTTTCATCTGTCAGAGTGCTTTTAAGTACTACATAAGTATATATTTAAAAAAAGCCAAAGCAATGTAGGCCAGAAGTTTTACCCATTATATAAGCAGAAAAACAGATCAAGAGAGGATAAAGAACTGATTCCACAACTCCCAGAGCATCACTGGCAGAAGAAGGAACAGCAACAGGAATTATTTCCTAGCATCCACCTCTAATAATTGACTCTGCACCACCTTCTTTCCATGCTTACCCATGTTTAAAGGGCTTTTAACCTATCGGACATGCAGGGAAATCAGCAATACCACCCCAAAGAAAGCTATAGCTTGTAACTGGGCTGCCTGAATGTGCTGTATGTGCAGGACACAGAATGCAATGACAGAAGAGTAGAACAAGAGTTACCGAAAGCACTTTTCAGTGACCAATTAGGACCGGATGCCTTCAATTCCTATCACAAAAGTATTCATCACTAAAAATGTTATTGTATGGTGAATTTTACAATTAAGCAGAAACCACACTACAAATCTGCTGCACAGGAAGGAATTTTGCTGAAACCAAACTACATCACTGCTTACAAAGAAATATTTTTCTAATACCAAAATTCATTTAGGCATGAGCATTGGATTATACCAAGCAGTGCTGCAATCACACCCAGCGTTACCAACCAAAAAAGGAGGGGCACAAAGCTAATTACTCCTACAGATCAAGTGTTCAAGGCAGGTAACTGGTTTTGGCCAAGCTGTGTACTAAATTCCATTTTACTCGGGATATTTTTGAGATATAAACCATCTTCTACAGGTAAGATAGAAGACAGCATCCACTTTACAGCATCCACTGCTTCTTCTAGGCTGCAGGAACTCCCACCTACAAAGCCAAGTGAAACGTCAGTGTCCGTGTGCAGTCTACCCATGTATCTGCCAATGGGCAGTTTCCAGTCAGTGGCCAGCCTGGCTCCCAGCTATGCAAGTTTCCAGTGCATCCCACTTTTTGCTGGGGTGTTTTTCTCTCAGTAAAAAGGAAAATCACTCAGGGATGAAAGACAGGGTTAGCATGCATGACTCATTAAAGTCTTGTACTTCTGAGATGAGGAAAACAAGCCAGTGGCCCAATGAGTGCTAACTCTGAACTTTATGCAAACGGAACTGAAACTGTGAATTCAGAGTATTTGGGCTCTACTCAACCTCTGAGCAGCAATGGCTACCACAACAGGCAATTCTGAACTGGATTTAAATCATTACTGTACAGCAGAACAATTTTGTGGGGGCACTCTAAAGCCATTCAGCTTCCAGAAAAGTCCATTTAAAATAATATTCTACAAATGACTACCAAAAAATGCCTATTTTTCCACCACAAATTTCATAGGTTACGGAATTTTTGAACGATGACATTTTTGAGACTACAAAATCTTAACAACTCATCTTGTTAAAGAATGCTTTTCCACTTTTCCACAACTGAGCTTTGCTAGGAGGTGCCCCCCTCCAGCAGCAGTTCTGGGACCTGGGACACTTCTCTCTCATGCTATTCAGCCTTCAACAGCCACACTTAATTTATGGTTCAGGACACTGCAGCCTACTGCCATGGAAATTTCAAACAAAGCAATACCAAGAGCCAGGCTGATGGGACAGCCTAGTGGGCTGGAAGACAGAGAGAGAAAGTGAACATGAACAAAACATCAATGAGTCACTCAGGTTTTTAACCCTTCCCAAACAGTGTAGGAATCATACACCCTGGAGCTGCTGATCAGGCAGGCTGTGTGTGTGAATTTCATAGCATTCACATAGGAATCGACAGTATGCCTAAATTCTCATTTAAGCCAAACTGAATCTAAGTGTTTCTGAAAGCAACTACTTCAGTAATTGATATTACTGTATCTTTACAACAAAAAACTCAGTATGACTGTGCACGCTATAATCTCCCACATAAAGATGCATAAAGTCACACAGAATAATTCAGAGTTTTGTCCAAAGCTACAGTGACCCAAAAGCAGAACTTTAAACTCTGGAGTGATAATTTCCTTTTGCCAACGTTTAGCAGCTAAATCACACTCTTCTCAGTCAATCCACTCTTAATGCTTGTTTTATGAAGCTCTCTATACTCCCCTAGAATCTGTAGCTGATCGCAAATGACATTCTGATAGATACTCTAGATAAAAATAGAGGATAAAGGGAATTTTTCTCTCTCAGTCTCTGCAAAGGATTTCTCTGTAGACAGTAATAAAAGAAAACTGTAAACAGACATACATTTGGGTTTGGCTGCATTGTTACCCTGGAGTACGTGTAAGGAAGCTCCCCATACCAGGAGGTAAGCCGTGGTTCCTCAAAAGATACTTCTGAAAAAAGAAAATGGAAGACTTTCTCAGTTGCCTTATCAAAGGGCTTGAAAATGGAAAGACAATGCAATTCTCCCAAGAAACTTGATCTAAAAGGGACTGCCCACTCACCTAAAGTTATAAAGCAGCCCCTTAAAATCCTCAGCCTTACATAATGCACTCAAGAGAAGGAACAAGATTATTCAGGAGCAGGCCCACCTCTGCAAGAGGAATTACCTTGCCAAAATCCTGGAAACACATCGATGTTCTCATCTCTATGCTGGACAGGGCAGGGACTGGACAAGTTAAAGATAGCAAAATGAAACTGAAATTTTGGCTTGTTTTATATTCTCCTGGTTCCAGTACCTAATACACCAGCGTAAACTGCAAGATGTATCCACTGGAAAGGATGAAGTGGAAAGGACTGCAGCATCAATGGGAAAACACAGAAGCAGAATGTAGCAAGGCTGGGCAAGGAATACTTTGACAAAGATGTGTGTGCTCTGCGGTGTAATACAAACATCAACTTAAAAGTACCTTCAACTTCTGAAAAGACGATCTTGGTAGCTATTTGTCATGTATGACAGGTGACATTCTCCACTGTATGGTACCTTTATTGCAAGCCAATAAACACAGATGTTGAAGACATTTTCCAGCCCTGTCCAGTAACTACTCCAATGCACGTTACCTTACATCTGTTCCAGACTGAAAGAAAAATTTAGCTAGAACAGGTGCCCCTTAGTGAACAAACCTAGAATAGCAGTCTCCTCACTTACCGCATACTGGAACTAATAAGCAAAGACAAGGGAAAAGAAATATGCTCTGCTGTGATTTTAAGTGAGAGAGGAAAAAATATTCCTGGTGACAGAAAGCTCAAAGAACACAGTTTTTGTTGAACAGCAGCATCATTGGGAGACAGTATGAAGGGATGGAGCACAGATTTAAACTGCAGAAAAGAGCGGGAGAAAGAACTGGAGATGACAGAGAAGGCAGTAAAATTCAAAGAGTTTTAAGACAGGCGATATTAATTTGGAAAGTTCTCATTTAATTGGCAATAGGGACATGGTGATAGAGATTGAAAAATAAGCAGCAGTCCTCTTCAGATACACATGGAAAACCTGGAAGGAAATGTGAAGGAGTGGTAATATGTAAAATGAAAAATAATGATAAACAATGCATGGATTTTGGTATGGAAATGACCTGGGAATGACCTAAAACGTTGGTCTACACACTCCTTACCCTGCCTGATGTGCACTCGCTGACCCCAGGGTATGTCTTGGAGGAGCTGTTCAAACATCCAGTCTGCTTGTTCTGAGTCAATAAAGCCAGGAATCAAATGAATCCTAAGGAAGAAAAATATTTTAAAAAGATGGAAGGAATATACAGTTCTATATATGCTTTGATAAAATTACTAATTTATCTAACTATAAAAGGAGCTAAGAATGGCTGTAGTACATCAGACCAATAGTGAAAGCCCAGGATCCTAGTTCTTAC